CCTCTGCTCCTTCTCTTTGTTCTTCCCTGTATATTAACTAAAATACATGCCATATGTCTGCATGTTAGTTTTTGGTAGTGTATTCCTGTGCATCTCTCTGTGTTAGACATATTTGCTAGGAGCAGAGCATAACTCCACGTGTATCTTTCATATTATTTATGTATCCTGTTACTCTGCTTCACTTCACCGACGCTGCTGCTGTTTGTTTTCTCACACAACCCTGGAAACACGATGCTTTGATGTTTTCTACTTGCATTTATTTCCTGCACCGTGGAGGAAAAAAAACAAGTCCTGCTTGTTTGTTTGTTTCTTAAGAGGAAATCTCAAAATATGTGAACAGATTCGAGTGAAATTTGGTGGAAAGTTGAGACGCGGAATAAGTGATAAGTGTGAATGCACATTACCCACTTTAATGCACTGTGTCTCACAAGGTAAAGTGTTTTTCCCCCACAATTGGTCTCATGAACTACTGTTCTTAAGTCATCCGACACTGGAATAATATGGAATCCAATGAAAACTATTCTGAAATACTTAAATGATGAATGCACTGTAGCTGATTAATATCCTGATGATTGGGTTGTTATGAAAATTTCGGAGGTCTGGTTTATCAACTACATTTTGTTCCTGCTTGTGTTCGTTTTTCTTTCTGCCCATTTACACTTGTCACGGTCTGCAAAGAAGCAAATTTATTTTAATTTCAGTGTTTTCAGTTTGAAGAAGTTTTACACACCGTCTGTTTTCCTCTTACTTCAGAATGTGAGGCAGAATATGTATTTTTCACTGTCTTTCTTTCTCTCCTCTCTCCATCTCTCTGGCCTTTTTAAGAGCACTCTTCGCCTAGAAAATATTCCCCTGCATTGTGTTTGTTTTTTTCTCCCGTTTTATTTTTGCCCGGGCGAAGTGAGTGTCTCCAATTAATTAATACTGGGCCCGGAAACAAACGCCTCTCCGCCAAACTCAACACTCTACTTCAGAGGCCCTGCGGCTGGCAGAGCGAGATGGGCGCAGAGAGATGGGATTTATTCATTAGCAGCCTGCAGTAAGGTATTACACCTCCACTGAGAGGCCGCAGTGCTGAGCACTGTCCTCATTAACGGCCTATCAAAGTGCGATGGCGCCGAAATCTGTGGGTGAATCATCAGGCTGTCTGATCCATTGCCGGGTACTCCCATGGTATCATTTTGTGGTGTTGGACAGGTTTCTGGTTCTACTTTTCTTCTTGCATTGGACTCATAATTATGTGTAGCTCAGTGCCAAAACTGCTCTTATGAGGGTATTCAGTCATGTATAAAAATAAACTAGATTTTGGTTATTATTTTTATTTGGAATGTACAAAGTGTCTGGAACGATAATGATAAAAAACATCAATTTGTTCTGTGGCATATGTTTTTTAAACACACAGTAGTTGTAAAGACGCCCAATTTAATTTGGCCAAATACGGTGAATCTTTTTAGGAAGCATACTGTGCTGAAATATACACCTTTTAAATCCACATTTTCTCTACTATGAGGTAATATCGCAAGGTGACGTTCTGACTGTGGTGGTCTGCAAAGGCAGAATGAAGAAGTAGATGTAACGTCGTTTGGGCAACAAGTTCCTCCAATGACGAAATACATCATTGGAGCATTTAGTGGTCGTGTGGCTGTTTTCTGATCAGCATCCATGGTTAAGGTTTGGCGAGGTTTAGGTACACTAACTACTTGGTTAAGGTTAGGGAAAGGTGGTTGGGCATGGTTAAAAGAAACCAACCACCCCAAACTTAAGCCCATCCCCACCTGAAAAACACCCATATAGGTCGATTATTATGTAGCTTATTATGAACCATATTTATAGTGTAAAGTCCTTGTAAAGAGGGTGGTGGGGCGGATGAATGAGTCAAGTAAACTCAGGACTTTCACATTTACCACGTGTTAAACATCCTGTGACTTAGGTCACGTGACTAATATTACATACTTAAGGTCCTGTACTTGCCAACGCTCGTACATGTAATTTTGAGGAATGATCATTTGTGTCATTGTGCTTTCTAAAAGACATGCAGTTTTGGAAAAAGGTGTTGAAAATTGACATATTGTATATATATATGACATATGACATATATGTCATTAGGTATGAGGACGCGTTGAACCTTAAGTGCAACACACACTGGCAGCGTCACACATCATCTGATGCTCAAAACACACATGGCATGTAACAACAACACGTAATGCAGAAATACAAATTGATGCGGCAAATTGCGGGCTTGAGAGAGTCTTTAAACTCCTCCCACTGATAAAACAGCCAACATCATTCAGCATGATAACAAACAGAAGCAGCTGCTTAACAAATTAGATGTGGCTCACCAGTTGGCCTTGATTTGAGACGAACAGATGACAAAAAGCACAAGCATTAAATCCATTGGGACAAAATCTCTTCACAGAGAACACAGTCTCCAAAATCTGTAGAGCTAACTTGCGATAATAGGACAATGATGTATCCTGATGCTTTGATGCGGGACAATAAGCAATGACTTGAAGAGGTGTCGGTGTGAAGGCTTAAACAAAACAACGGGTACAAGTATCCAAGGAAGGTTAAAATCACTTGTCTGAAGATCCTTGAATACGTTTTGCCTTTCATCTTAGTTCTGTCTCCCTGGCAAAGGAATCCCAGCCATTTAACCTCTGTGGGGTTATAATCAAGGTGATGGATATCGCTCAGTTCATTAGTGTTTCTGGCTGTTGTAACAACAGTCGTCGTGGTCGTTGGAGTTGCGTCAGGCCATCGTTGGCATTGTCACAAGGCCAAATGTGAGCATTTGTTCACTCTCCTGGGAAGAGATGAAGGGAAAACGTTGTAAGTGGGGGGGGATTTGTGGCGTCTTAGCCCTCTTCCTCTGTTTAGCGATGGTCTTCAACCACGTCCAGTTGCCCTGGATTTTAACCTTCCTTGAAAACTATGGCCTGAATGAGAATCTTCACAGACAACAGGTGCAGTGTTTTCACCCACTGCTGATGTGGTGGTGCTCTGACATTGTACGATGCTTCCCTTGCTTCTGACACACCAGAGTCATTATTTGCATGGAAACGTAGGAGGCTCAACGAACAACCAATGCAAACTGTAAAAAACACCCACAGCACCTACTGGAGTGAAAGTCATCAACCAGGAGTCAGCGGACTGAGACAGATCAAGGAGGACATTCGCATCTGACTACAGAGACATTTGAACAGAAACAGGAGTTAATATCTTTCCCCATACACACCACCTGTTACCACATAAACAAAATTCCATATTTAGGTCATACGATAAACTAAACCAACTCCCTCCACTGACTTTCCAATGCAGACAAAAGCTCCAGAAATATAGTACTGAGTTAAGATCATTTTAAACAACCAATGCTGTTTTTTTTTTTATGGTAAGGATGGTCTCATTTTGGATGCACAAAAGAGTCCAGTTAACCTGAAAAGCCACGTCTAAGGAGGTAGAAATATTTACTCAGCTTTGAGTCCTGACGGACTGTTTCCTGGGAGCTGTCCGGGAGTCTCCCTTGTTGATTTTATCCAGCAAATAACACTGTCTTTAGTTTTAATAAGGACCAAAACAAACCATTTGCTGGAAACGGAATTTTAACACCTCTCAGATTTTGGGGAAATGGCCAGAGGGCAGCTTTCACTCAGCCTGCGTTCAGTAAAAACTGTTTCATCTGTAACTGTCAGTCTGCCCGTCTGTTTAGAGTCACAGATTAAATGAGCAGGACAACCACTAATCTTCAAACTGGAAAATGTTTGGAATAAAAAATAAACGCTGCACCTGATAGAGTGCAGTGAATTGTAAGTCTGGGCTTTTCCACACAGCAAAAAAAGTATTTTGTCAAAGTCAAGTAAGCCTGCAGATCAGAAAAGCTGCTGATGCATTTCCACCATCTTGGCTTTCACTGAGGCATGACAAAAGTATTTTATTTACCCAGGTTTGACACAGAATACTTTCCACACCCTCACCGTCACAGACTACGCTCAGACTCACCGTACAGCTCAGGCTTTCATGTTCAGCTACTTTCTGTCTGAACATACACAAGATGAAATTGCTGAAACAATATCCCCGCTGGACATTTAACGGTACGTTTTCATGGTCACATATTACAAACAAATGTCAGCCTATGTGTCAACCATTATGTTTTTAGGTTTCTAAATCTTTTCAAGGCAGCCATTTTTTCACTGTCCTCTATAACTGTATTTATATAGCATTTATAACAACAAATAATGACAAAATAAAATAGAAACACAAATAAAATGAAAAACTTTTAAGAAAGACTCCACTTTAGAGAACATTTTAAGGGTATGAAATTCATCACAGCGAGCATAAGGTCTGTTTTTGTCTTTGTTAAAGTTTTGTCCTTAAATTGTTCTTAAACCAACATTGAAGGTAGTCAGCCAAGTCATGGCCAGTGCAGATTTTGGTTGCGGATCCAGGTTTGTTTGATTTGTACTGAGAATCAGTTTCCATTAAAAGCAGTTTGGCCAGCTTTTGGGCCAATGTTGGCACCCAAAATTAGACTGCGCTAGTTTGGCAACCAGCATGCCAGATTGATGCCACGGTTGGGCTGCTTAATTTAATTCGAAGCCTCTTCAAAGTTATTTCCATCACATAAGGATTGAATGAATGGAAGTCAGTGGCTAACTGGACAGTGAGAAAATACATTCAGGAATCTAAAACAATACATGGCAATATAATTGAGGACATGTAAAAACACTAGTATTGTCCTTTAAGTCCTTAATGCTTTAAAATCAAAGGTAGTGCAACGGTTTACTAAATAACTCCTATCATTTAGCCATTTGGATAGTCCTGGTTTTATGTGGAGAATATTAGGGTGGTGGCAGACATCTCAGAAGTGGATATAAGTGTCTAAATCTAAAAATACAGTTTATTATTTATTTTGTGTGAACAAACCCTTTAAAAGTGCTACTATAGAGTGTCCACTAGCGAGAGATCATCGTTCACATGCACACTTTTTAGATTATACTTCTTACCTTCCTCCGTCTCGTGCCAGACGATGCCCTCCAGGTTGACGCTGGTGCCGGGCTGGCAGGGCCCCAGACAGGCCGAGTCGCCCTCCAGTGCTCCTGAGATGCCTCCATCCTGGGTGTTGGTGCCTATTGACCTCGTCCTCACTGCCAGCATCTTGGGGTTAGAGGTGGGCAGGGCCGGAGGGGAGAAGGAGGGAGCTGAAGGCAGAGACGGTCCGAGGGCCCCGGGGTGGCCTGGAGCAGGGGGAGCTGGCACAGTGAACATGGGGTCCACCTGGAGGGAAAAGGAGAGGATTCATTAAAAAGACCAAATTAAGAGACTATCTGCATTGTAATCAATATCAAATTTTATTTATATAGCACACTTAAAACAACCAAGGTTGACCAAGGTGCTTCACAGGTTAAAATACAACAACAATATGTAATTTTACTTTAGTTACACTTTATTTTTGGTATAAAGCTATTAGTTCAATTTCCATGACTGTGTTGACTTCTCCAGAAAAAAATTAAGTAAAAAGATTAGTAATGTCATTTGAGTCCATCTGACATCTGATATTTGAATGTTGAATCCCATTTTATAATGGAAGGACATTTTAGAAGAAGAGACATTTTCTGAAAATGTCATACCATTCATTATTCTATCTGCAGTGTGCATTTACCAACTTCATAATACTAAATGGCAGTTAATCCTCTCTCAACTATATCCAGACTTGGAAAATTGAATGCTTCGCTTGCACATACATATATAGTGTCATGTGTAGGTATGTATGTGTGCGCAAGGTTAAGTATATATGCCCACGGTGAGTATGTATGCATGTGCTTTTTATTTATTATTATTATTTCATATGGTCCCAATTACAGACCTGAGCGAAGTATGCATGTATGTATGCGAGAGGTTAACTATTCACCTATTTATCAAATGGGCAAGAACGTCCCTTTTCCGTTTGTCACTTTTATCACTCTAAAAAATTTAAAGAAAATTTTCACATCCCCATAATCCCCAGACCTGCTGCATGAAGAGCAAAGACCCATGCAGTGAATGGGAATCGAACACACCACAGGCAAAAGCATTATCCACTGTTCTATGGAATTGAACTTTGTGATCTAAAGCTTTGCTGTTTTTTTTGTCGACCTGGGTGTTTATCCCAAAATTCTGTCCTTTGTGTCAATTGTTCATTAAACATTTTACTCACCACCTCTGTGTGGGAAAGGAGCCAATTAGAGCTTTCTAAAAAAATAAATAAAAACAATGCTACAGACACATAAAGCTACAAGGATTAAGTTAAAAAACTACAGAATGTCAAGGAGGCTATTAAAAAGCCTGACTTCAGTTAACCTAATCAACTGATTTAGACCTGGTAAACATTTGCTGTTTATAAAAAAAGAGGTCTTTCCTTATTGCTGAAAGCCTTAACTGGACTGCCCCATTGGGTGGAAAAATCTGTACTTACCAATTCCACTTTTAGCCAAATCTACACGTAGTATATTAAATGACTCATTGTCTTTCCACCATCTTCTCAAATACATTTTGCTGTGTTTCTCAGGTCAATCTCATCATGTAGTTTAGCATTAGTGCAGATAGGGTTTGATAATACATCCACACTGCAGTGAGCAGTGATCATTTTTCCATACACTCATGGTAGAGGTCTTACAATAGCTAACCATGAGGGCCAGTCAGACCTTGTTCAAACACCCCCGAAGATAATTAGATCCAAAATGAGGTCCGTGAAGACATCTAACTGACGGCACAGACACCGTGAACAAACACTCTCCAGTAGTGTTTCATAAAACCAAGAAGATCGTTTTTCAGTTTTCAAAATGTGTGAGTGAGCTTAACCTCTGTCATCACCATGGTTACATCTAATGAAATACTAAGTCATTGATGCCTGTAAGGGCCTCGCTCTTATCTTCACCACTTATTATGGTCCCAATTACAACAGCTCTGGGAAATAATTCTGCTGAGAGAGCAGCAGCAATCAGCAATGAAGGATTTTTCTCGCCGTTATGACTCAAAGATTACTGGCCTGACAGATATCTCACTGCCCGATATTCTTGAGTAATTTCCCAGTTTGAAAAAAAATAAATAAAAAAACCACGTTCTTGCCAAGCCGAGTAAATACTTGAGAAAATAGCAGAGCTTTGTCAAGTCCAACACAGAGCTCTTCTGCGAAGTTTGGCTTCCCAGATAAAGGAGTTGTGCTTCTGTTGTGTTATTATGAAGATAAATCAGTTACTCACACAGTTCGCTCTCATATCTGACGCGAAAAACAAAAGACTCGGGTGCTCTGTGCTTTTCTTTAAAATCCCTCTGCTATCTTTCCTCTACAGCAGTGTAAACTGAAGGGGTTACAAATATTCAATATTGAAGAACTCGGACCAGAATCAGGGCCAAAAAAACTTGACCAGAAAACCCCTAGTTACACTTGAGTTAAATTAGAGACCAATTCTTTATGTAAAATTATTTGGGGCGTGTCCCTTTGTCCACATAAAGTTACGTCTATGCTTGCAAGTTCCAAAACAGTTACTTTCCCCTCCTCTGGTCCCTGTGTGGCTCAATATATAAAAAGGGAACTTGCCAATACTTCAGGGTTCAGGGTTTAGTTTCTATTCTGCCAACAGTTTCTGTTCTCCAGGTATGATAAGGAGCTTTGTTTGTTTGACTTGATTTGTGTTAAAACCCTGATAAACAAATGCAAATTTATCATGCAAAATAGTAATAAAACAAAAAGCAGAAGATCCCCAGTGCTTCCTGAAACCGTCTGTTAACTCCCACACAGCTGCTAACAAAGACCACCCAGGACTTCTTCTATCATATCACAAAGCAAATTAACTATAAAAGAAGAACCATGATCCTTGGGGATTTCTGTTCCGTCATTAACGCCTTTTCCTCCCTCAGACTCCCAGAATAACAATGCTCGATTGCAATTCACACAGCAGTTATAGTCTGCCAGGACGCAGAGTCACACAGCAAAATAACAATAAAAACACAAGCTTGCTCTCTTGTGTGTTAAAGTCTTCAAACAAATCACCCATTCTCACACTGTTTCTTAATTAAGAAATCCAACAAAGCACACAGCAGAACTTTAGGCAGCTTTAGCTTTAAAGAAACAAGCATGTGAATGAAGCTGTGGGAGCACAGTAAAGACCAGTCTGACCATGTCACTGAGCAAGGCAGTCAAAGCAATAATCACTGTAGATATTTATTTTATAGGAATATATATTTTGATTATCTAGCAGGTATAAAAATAATTAGGCAGAGGCAGTGACATTTGGACCAGAAAGCAGTCTAAATTTCTCTGCCTCCCACCCCGGCAAATCACACACCGTTTAAATTAAAGCTACCGCCAGCAGCCAGTTAACTTAGCTTAGCATAAAGACAGGGGAAACGGCTAGCCTTGTTCTGTCTAAAAGTAACAAAAAATTGTATATTGTCTGTTTAATCCATATAAAAAGCAAAGTGTAAAAACCAACAATAGTTTTACGGGGGATTATGTGCCAAACTATTTCTTAGTCAGGACCAGATGCCAGGCAACCAGATTTAAGGAAGTTACTGCATAGAGTCTGTGATGGCCCAAGCCACACAGGGTAACAGCCAGCAATGGTAATACCGCACACAAGCCTACCAGCACACAAGCCATGTTTTAAGTACACAGGTTAAGTTATTTTTGCAGTTAGCCACACCCCAAACAATTCATGATTTCAAATCACAGCACAAAGTTATTTGAGTTGCAGTAGTTATTTGAGTTATAATATACATTTATTTGCTTTAGCCACACGCTGTTTAAATTGAGTGCACACATTTTCACATTGTAAGGTTATGAAAACATTTCTGTTCTATTAATCATTGTTTCTTGTTACCACTTTGAAGAGAGATCTGTCCTGGTGGAAGAAAGGCGGGGCCAAGGGGGAGGACTGTTATATCCTGTGGCCTGTCAATCAAGCCGTACCATGTCCTGCTATGTTGGAGGGGGATTTTTTTAGTTTGTTTGACTTTGTAGTCAAACAAAGTAGTTCATATCCTGTTGTTGTATAGTTATATTTTGTTGACCTCTTTTATAGGCCTAGTTGTTAAGTAATCAGACATATTACCCCACGTAACTCCACAACTTTGGACACAAAAAACATACAATGTGTTAATTGTTGAGCTTTAGAGGCGCTGGCTGCCTAGCGTTTCCTCCTGCTTTACATTCTTTATGCTAAGCTAAATTAGCAGGCTGCTGGTGCTTCATACTTAGCAGGGCTCAACTGCCAGGGGCAAGAAAAATACGCCTGTTCAACAAGCATAAACATGTAGAAAGCAATGTTTCATCTGCTGTCCACAGTCTCTCATCCTCTGTGTTTTACACGAGAACAGCACGCTAGCTCGGCTAAAAGCAAATTGTTACAAACAAGCTAAAACAAAAGCTGTCTGTATGTAGTCTAACTGTTTAGCTAGGCAAATTCTTGTAAACTAAATCATTTATCACTCACACTTAGAGTCCGTCTCTGTGGAGAGAGAGGAGGGATTGTGATACCATTTAATTTAATATGCAAGAATTGTTCTGATTCATTTACTTTATTATTTATAAAGATTAGACATGACAATTAACTTAAGTCTCCTTGTTGCTTGATAACCGCTAATAAATTAAACCATTTGTATGGAGGGGGGTAAAAACTGACTTGAGGCAAGTCGGTTTCTGACCCACTTGCCCAACAGACAAATGATGACAAGTGATATCAGTCGTCTCATCCAGGCTCTTGGCAAGAAAGCAAAATTAGCTTTCCCAAAGTGATGACATTTTCCTTTAATGATTGCATAATGCTTACCATGGTCACTATATTGGTTTAAGATATCTTAATGTGTTATTGTGCTATGTTAACTATGTTAGTTAAGTAAAAATACAAAGTAGCATTGAGGCTGATGAGTTTTGGTATTGGATAAAGTGAAATGCTGACCTGATGATGATCACCAAAGTTATGAAAATTGATCCTAACTTTACGGATAGTAGTGCTATAGAGGAAAAGTCAGGGGATCACCAAAGTCAGAAGGGTTGATTCACTGGGGGCCATGAAGGGCTGTGCAAAATGTCACGGCTATCCATCCAAGAGTTGCTGAGATATTTCAGTCTGGAGCAAAGTGATGAACAAATCAAACAACCATCCAACCAAAATTGCCATTCCATGAGCCATGCTGCTAAAAATCTGTATTATGTCTATATACTGCATGTTAAATATCCATCATGAAGACGTTTTTCCCCAACAGTAACCAAGTAGTTGCCTGAACTTAACCAAACC